AGACCGTTCGATCGGCAGGCGAGCACCGTGGCGGCTCACCAGAAAGAAACAGATGTTGATAGTTTATTTGTTAAACAGAAGTCACAGAATTACAATTTTCAGTTAATGCGACACATGCTGCTGCTTCGAGGTTAGAGTGTTAAAGAACGCGGTTATACTCACCCTCGTCCAGTTTAAAGAGCCGGGCTGACTTTCTTCTTCTTCTGTCCTTCTGTCAGAAAACTTCTAACAGGAGGCCGGTAGCCTATATGAAAACTGTCAAGCAGTCCAGATCTCATACAGCTTTGTCTGCATTGAGGTTGGAACAGGTCAGAGTGCGTCTCTGTTGGAAGCACACAACTGGCGTTTTGGAGCTAATGCGCAGAATTCTCTGGTGTCAAGTTGCAGGAGCACATCTCCGTATTTCCTACACCAAAAAAACTTATACATATATTAGTGAAATAGGTCTGACTTTGAGGTCGCATATCAAGACAGTGCCTATCTAAAGGCGCAGATTGAGATTCAGCGCACAGGCCATTGACATAAGATAATAATGCTGTCTATTTATGTTCCATAATATGTACCGTCTCTGCTATGTAGGTTAGGGAGTCGCCGTGGCCGAGCGGCTAGACGCTCGCCTCGGATCGGAAGGTCGTGGGTTCGCTCCCTGGTGGAGCCGGACTATTTTTAAAAATAACCTTGGCTCCCAGGTCGACCCAGCCTTGAGTGGGTACCGGGTGCCGTCCCGGGAAGTAAAGGCGGCCGGCGTGATGCTGACCAAATCACCCATCTTGTGCCGCTTGGTCTATAAAAAATAGGCTTAGCCCTGTATGCTCTTTACGCCTAAAGGCGTGGAAAAGGGTCCTTTACTTACTTACTGCTATGTAGGTTGGTTTCAGAGGTCTCGGCATTCACTGCTGTCTAGGACAGTCATTCGCGGTGAGGTCACAGCCTGTTCCACAGTGCTACTGTCGTTCCGCTCTTATTCTTTTTCACATGTAAAAATAAATTTCGTGACCACCTGAAGTAACGAAGTGCCACTAAAGAATGGAAGACCTGCAGAAAGTCTCCGAGACTCGGATGCTCTCAAGCAAACCATGAAAGAAGAAAAGATATTCTAACTGAACACTTGACACAAACTGCCAGGTAGGCTGTGCACACAGCATAGTAGACATTTTGCGATGACATATGGTGCGACAAATCTTTAATAAAACTCTGGCGACCTCAACGCAGAATCAACGGCGGCAAGCAATACTGTAATGTTCCTGCATTAAACATGAACAGTTGGGTGATCTAAAGATCTGGCGATGACAGAGGTGAGGCGCTCTTTCTCCTGCGAACCGAAATGGACAGACAGCGACCAGGGCTGCCAATACTGGGTTTTTACTCCCAGATCTGAGTTGTTGTTTTTTTTTCGACGCCCTGGGTTCAAATTTTGAAATCTGAGGTTAAAAAAATATATCCTTATATAAAAGTGGGTAAATGTTTCGTTTCATAACTATAAAATTTGTACTTTTCAACAATCTGGGTTTTGTTTATTTGGTTTTTTTTTTTGTTCTAAGCTGATGTAATGCTTGGGTTTTTTTTTTGGGGGGGGGGGTTATCTTAGCTGGGTTGTTCTAGAAAGTCCTACTGGCATCCCTGACAGCGACGAGAAGAAGCAGATGGAACAAACAGTTCACCACGACATGAACGACGATGAAATAGATGGAGAAGATGAAACAGTGTATTGATCGGTTGCAAACATCAGAGCTACTCTAAAGACATCCTCAACACAGCCCCAGGTCCGACGGCATAAGTGAGTTTTCTCGAGAAAACTGACATTATAAGACTGGACTATCCAGGGCATTATAAACAAAAACATCAAAGTGAAATAGTCCCACAGCTACCTAAGACCCGTTTCTAAGCCTGAAAAAGATCACAAAAAAGCTAAACGGCTAAAGAATCAGCACACTTCAGAACACCGTAGGAAAACTGAAAAAAAAATCATAGCCAAAACTTAGTCAAGTGGTCTTTTGGTACCTAAACTAGGTAGGTTCCCTCCCGGGAAGAGATAGCTGGTGCAATGCCCAACTATTTGCTTACGACACATATGAGGGCTTCCATGCATACATGGAAACTATCACAGCCGCCATTGACTTGCTTATCAAATTGATGATAAACTACTCAAATGGTCACCATACCTACGCCAGTCGTAAGCATGTAAGGTATAGACATCGATAGAATGAACACAATGAGAGACCTTTCGACAGATGCTTGCCATCCAAGAACAACGTAGGCAGTGTCATAGTTAGAGCCAGGAAAGGTCTGATAGCGCTGAAAGCGATAGCATGCGCCGATATTGAACTACAACTACTTTTCCTGCTCTGTCAGGGACTTGTGTTAATTGTTTTGTACTACAGTCGGGACCTCCTCACTGTCAGCAGCACCTAACTATACTGACTGGAATTAGGCCACGAGACTCATACTCTGCTGCACATAAAGTGGTGCATATGAAATAATTGTACACGAAGTTATCAGCAGACATCAGCCACCTACACTGCACAACGCCATCAGTGATATAAAAGCAATGGGTCTCTTGGATGGCCGATACAGAAAATCTAATCCAGCAAGTTTGTGACCTTAGCGAGGTCAGTCTCGGAAAAAAATGTAACCAGTAAACATACATACATACACACATACATACACACACACGCACGCGCGCGCGCACACACACACACATTCTCTGCCCTTGGCGTTAGTTCCACTCTCTCAGCCTTTCACATAAAAGGTCCTTCATTCTCTGCCCCTGATATATTTGTCGCCTCCATCTCCGTCCTTCGATTTTGTCCCCACAGTCTCCCATCCGTCTGTCCTTCACATGCCATTGCCCCATCCGCCCTTCTCGCACTCTTCCCGGGACATCGTTTGTTTCGACCCTGCGAGAGACAAACTCTGAATCTGGGTCGATGGGACTTTGTTTACCTCCTATACCCAGTCTCGTGAACTCTGCCTGAACTCTCATTTCCAGAACGCGCGGAAACGGTTCCGTCTGCCTCGTTCAGAATTTCCAGATCATTCTCTGCGCAGTTTGTCAGATCTTTTATTTTTATTTATATATTTTTTCCCCTCTGTAAATTTTGATCTTTGCGTCTTTTGTGCATTTATTTATAGGTATGCGTGTGTCTTCTTCTCTCTTATTCTTCTTCTCTCTTCTTCTTCTTCTTCTTCTTCTTCTTCTTCTTCTTCTTCTTCTTCTTCTTCTTCTTCTTCTTATTCTTTCTTCTTCTTCTTCTTCTTCTTCTTCTTCTTCTTCTTCTTCTTCTTCTTCTTCTTCTTCTTCTTCTTCTTCTGCTTCTTCTTTTGCTTCTTCTTCTGCTTCTTCTTCTTTCTTCTTCTTCTTCTTCTTCCTTCTTCTTCTTCTTCTTCTTCTGCTTCTTCTGCTGCTTCTTCTTCTTCTTCTTCTTTTGCTTCTTCTTCTTCTTCTTCTTCTTCTTCTTCTTCTTCTTCTTCTTCTTCTTCTTCTTCTTCTTCTTCTTCTTCTTCTTCTTCTTCTTCTTCTTCTTCTTCTTCTTCTTCTTCTGCTTCTTCTTCTTCTGCTTCTTCTTCTTCTGCTTCTTCTTCTTCTTCTTCTTCTTCTTCTTCTTCTTCTTCTTCTTCTTCTTCTTCTTCTTCTTCTTCTTCTTCTTCTTCTTCTTCTTCTTCTTCTTCTTCTTCTTCTTCTTCTTCTTCTGCTGCTTCTTCTGCTGCTTCTTCTGCTTCTTCTTCTTTTTCTTCTTCTTCTTCTTCTTCTTCTTCTTCTTCTTCTTCTTCTTCTTCTTCTTCTTCTTCTTCTTCTTCTTCTTCTTCTTCTTCTTCTTCTTCTTCTTCTTCTTCTTCTACGACGACGACGACCACCACCACCTCTACACAGTATTTGCTTGTTGTTGTTCACTCATGTGTATATTTTATTTCGCCGCCTTCACTGTACTTCTCCTTTCTGTTCAGAACATTCGTTAACAAGAAGCTGTCTCTGCATGTGTGTAAAAAAACCAAGTCCGGTTTTCTTTTCACGATATTAAGGCTTTGGACCTGTGTTCAAATCCTTGACTAGAGCTAGCATTCCTCTTCTTCTTCGCGTTCACCGGCTGTAACAAGTTCTGGAAGTTCGTCCGTCTCGGGAATTTAGTTGCACACATGGTTTTATTGATCTGGCGTATTTAAATGCAGATTGTTGGTTCATAAAAGAAAATTGATTGACCTAGACACCTATGTCTTTATAGTCCTTACATTGACAGTAAGTTTTTGAGGGCGGGGGGGGGGGGGGGGAATTAATACAAAATCGTGGCATTCAGCCAACATCCCCGACGGATGAGCTTTAAGGTTATAATTTTGACGAGGTTATTTGGCGCCATGTAAAATGGTTTATCACTGCTCGCCACCAAGTAGCCATGAAAAGGACCCTTGCATTGTTGATGCGACCAAAGGAGCAGACACAAATACTGTCGTAATCGGCGACGAAGTCGTCTATTAGCTAACCAGTTCTCTCACATTTGTATTTGTAATTGTTATGAGAAATAAAGATAGCCAGCAGGATAGTGACAACTGTACTTAACAAATTACACAGCAGTGTTATCTTTTCTTTAAATTAAACAATGTGTGTCGAGAGGAAGGAAATGCTGCATGGCCCTTGTGGGGTTTTCTGCAATACTGGTCAGGTTTTATGACGTGTAGAGAAGGAACTTCACCTCTGGCTTCAATTGGTGACCCAGGGCAGTGACTTCCATGGTTGCCCCTAACACACACAGTTGAGTCTGGTAATATGCCAGGGTGCCAGCACAAGGAATGTCGAGACCACAGTACCTGATCAGAGAACGATAGGTAAATAACCACCTGAGTGAGCCTAAACAGTGGACTGGAGGTCCTTGATTTTACATGTATTCTGACACCGAACACACAAAACACGCGCTTGCGCACTACCACAATGTACGTCTAGTCTCTTTAGATGGATTAAACAACAGAAAATTTTATTCATAAGCCCTTTCAAATTTCTTCTTTTTCAGACAAAGCACTTGGGAACCGACAGAGAATATTCTGGACCCACTGTTGATCGCAGAGTTCGATTCCAGGTAAGACCATCACTAAAATTTGCTGTTGTTGTTTTATCTCAGTATGTGTTTCCACTGTTGTTATCTCAGCTTCGGTGAGAGGAGTTGGGTGGGGGGGGGGGGGGGGGGGGGGGGGATTATCTAAGAGTGAAGGAGCAGAAGTAATCTAAAGATAACAAAAACATGCGACTTAGGCCTTCTTTCCTTTACAGCTCTACACTGTTTTTTTTAAGCGAGTGTCTTCTTCATCCTAATGTTCACCGGGTACACTCCAGCAGAAAGTTCTAGTTGTTTATCCATTTCTGGATTTTGGTTTCGTTCGAGAATTCGTGTTTTGCGTGCACATCTGTTTTACAGATATGGCTTATGTGTAATCAGTTTGTTAGTTTCCCGCCTTTCAGACAGATGCACTTCGACTCAAGAGGAAACTCCCCTAATTAGTTACCACGTACGACATGCTTTTTAGGGAGCCAGTGGGTGTGGGTGTATTCTCCCCCCCCCCACCTCTCCCCCCTCCAGAATGGGGACCCAGGAACCCACACGGGGACGACGGATGTCTAAATCGAGAGAGGAGGAACGAACGAAAGGACTTTATTTTCAAAGGGTCACAAAATGGGCATGTAAGCCTGCCTCACATTTAAAACAACAGTCTTTCACACAGCAGTTGTGTTTTATCAATCAAGCATGTTTTTTTTTTATAATAATATGCAAATTGTAAATATCAAGAGGAAAAAAACAGCAACTCAAAATCATGGATGAGAGAGAGAGAGAGAGAGAGAGAGAGAGAGAGAGAGAGAGAGAGAGAAAGAAAGAAAGAAAGAGAGAGAGAGAGAGAGAGAGAGAGAGAGAGAGAGAGAGAGAGAGAGAGAGAGAGAGAACACTTAAGCCTTTCCCTTTTCCTTTTTCCTAGCTCCTTATGATGTACGACTTTTTGTCGTTCCTAGTGATCTTTTTCGCCGAATGTACTTTATTTCAAAGCCAAACAATGTACGTTAAACATGGGTGTGTAAACAGAAAACATATTTTCTCTCTCTTTTTTCTCCCCAACAAACCGAAAAAAAAGCCGTCCAAGGACGTAGAGAAGAAAAGCAACAACTAGACATAAAAATTAATGAACCCCTTAGTACCGCGATGAAAAGCATCAAAGCTGGCGTGAAGAGAGGCGGGGATGTTGCAGCATAACTCCGCACAAGACTAACGAGGTATTACAAGTTGTAAATTGGAGAATTTCCAGTGATGTGGAAGATTGACAGGCATCATCGCCTGTACTAGATTCTGTCAATTATGGCCGACGTATTACAATACAGCAACGATTCTCATATTGCTTGTTTCCCCCAGTTTGTGTTCCTGAGCCCCATTTAGGGGTAAAAAGAATAGAACCACTGTCCCTAAACAATCATACTGTGAAAGGCAACTGCTTAAGGATTTATTGAAATTGGATGGGTTGCGTCACGTGCGAATATTTCGCAGCCTAGCTGAAAACCACAATACAGGGTACCAGTCACCCCTTTTGAGGGCGACTGCAGAAGAAAAAGTAACAACCAGACCGACAGTCAAAATAGATAATAAACTAAAGCCAATTCCTTAAAATACTAGATGGGATATTCTTGTGTGCGGGGTAGTAAACCATCTGATGACGCTCCTCTTGGCGGTAAACTGTTTTAAGATTAAGCGGAGTGGTAAAGGCTGTCTGAGATCATGTGAATGTGCAACATGACATAGTATCGCTACCTTCAAAGAGTAATTCAGCGGCAGGTGAGGTAAGTAGAGGTTGTGGACGATATTCAGCGCTGAGGAGAAAACATAGGCGGGCGTGAAATCATATTGCAGCTGGCACTGTTAGTATGTGAGCCACCGTGGTGAGGTGGATAGACGCTGGCCTGCGGATCAGAAGGTTTAAGTCCTGACGGAATCTGGCTATTTTTAAAAATGACGAAGAGAACAGCTAGCCGTTTGCTGAGACTGCCACACAAAGCACGAACTTCGTAGCTCCAGTGACGGTCCACTGATCTCTGTTAAAAAGAAAAAGTGCACTCGTGAACCGAACGACGCAGCTGTGAAATCGGCCTACGATGTTCGAAGCTCAAGGCAGTGTTTATGACGAATCCTAAACCTAACTACGCGAAACAGGGTCAGAAATGACACTATCAGGAAAGAAGTTGGAACATAATCAGTACTAATCTACATAAAAATGCAACAGATAAGACGGTCTGGACATGTCTCAAGACTGCCAGAATATTCCGGACATCTCTCAAGACTACCAGATATTCTGGACATGTCTCAAGACTACCAGATATTCTGGACATGTCTCAAGAATACCAGATATTCTGGACATGTCTCAAGATTAACAGGATATTCCGGACATCTCTCAAGACTACCAGATATTCTGGACATGTCTCAAGACTACCAGGAAATTCTGGACATGTCTCAAGACTACCATGATATTCTGGACATGTCTCAAGACTACCAGGATATTCTGGACATGTCTCAAGACTACAAAGATGGTCTTGATATGTCTCAAGACTACAAACATGGTCTTGATATGTCTCAAGACTACAAAGATAGTATGGACATGTTTCAAGACTACAAAGATGGTATGGACATGTTTCAAGACTACAAAGATGGTTTGGACATGTCTTGATCTCAAGACTACCACGATGGTCTGGAGATGTCTCAATATTACCAAGATGGTCTGGACATGTCTCAAGACTACCAAGATGGTCTGGACATGTCTCAAGACTACCAAGGTGGTCTGGACATGTCTCACGACTACAAAGATGGTCTTGATATGTCTCACGACTACAAAGATGGTTTGGACATATCTCAAGACTACCAAGGTGGTCTGGACATGTCTCAAGACTACCAAGATGGTCTGGACATGTCTCAAGACTACCAAGATGGTTTGGGCATGTCTCAAGACTGTCACCAGACTTTGCGCCAAAGAGAGCCCTGTCTCTACACATAATGGAAGCAGATCAAGAGGTCAACAACGTAAATTATGCAGAGATGGAATATATGAGTCCTTAAATGCTACCTTCTAAATAGCACATACCAATGCTTACACCGGATGCCTCTTGAAAATCTGACGCTGAAAGACTGAACAGGACTAGAGAAGAAGAAGCATCAGACCCAGCTGTAGATAAATAGATACTGCAGAAAATGAGACCCGGAACGGGGTTTGCTACCTTTTACATCATAAGCGGTAGCTATTTACTTGATATTATTGTCATTTCGCATTCTGCATTTGGCTCTTTTCTGCCTTTTTGCCCTCTCTCTCTCTCTCTCTCTCTCTCTCTCTCTCTCTCTCTCTCTCTCTCTCTCTCTCTCTTATTTTTGTTTTGAATTAATCTGTATCTCCTTTCCCCATTCTAGCCGTGCTTACCCCCACCCAATCCGGGGCATTTTTTTCACGTCTAATTTAAACTAAACAACTCTATATAAACACTAACGACGCCAAACAAAATAATTAAGCTCCTTTTTCCCGTAGGACAAATTGGCAATTAACAAAGAAGAGAAAAACTAGGCCGCCAGAGAGTTGCGACCTTGTGGTGCATTGTTTTTTGACACACTTTTCTTTGTTTCAAATTAGCGATATCCTCCACAAAACTCCCCACATAACTATATTATGTAAGAGGTAATTTTATTATCAACCCTGATACATACATATTTCGTGTTCCACTTTTTGCCAAGAAAACAGTTAAATCCTGTTTTTTAAGTTCACCCTAGCTAGCCAGGTTTCTTTGGTCAACCAGACCAATTACGTATTGAATTTCATGCAGTCAGTACTTATCATGGACCCAAAATAGCGAACGTAATATCTGGCATTCTCAACCAGCGGGGTCACTGAAGGCTTGCCAATTAATGGGACACATATATAGGAGTGGGGATTACTGTGTTATTCGTTATTTGTTATGTAACGCTAAAGCTTGTTATTGTTTTTTTTTTCAATGTCATAAAGAAATATGCATGCACGCGCGCGCGTGCGCACACACATACGTGTCTCCATATCGTTAGATCTCTAACACCGTCTATCAGTCAGCGCGTGTGCTGACATATTGCCTTGCTGCGACTAAAGCCCATCACGAATCGCCTTTCGGTGTTTTCCTAAATCTCTTTTTCCACAATCTTTCCAGCTGTAACAATGTTATAACTAGTTAGAATTCAGTGTGTGAGTATGTGTGTGTGTGTGAACCTCCATTGATTGAAAGAAGCTTTCCCCTGCGGGTTTCCGAGCCCAGTTGTGTGAGTGGGGGGGGGGGGGAGGGGGGGGGGGAATACCCCCTGTCTTAAAAACCCACTGTCCTCTTAACAAACATGGTGCAAAAGTCTAATCATTCGGGGTCTTTTATATACGTGCATCTACCTGTGAGCTGAGAAACCACTATTCTGTATAAAATAAGCAAGGTATATAAAACTGAGTCGGCTTTGTGGCTAAGTCGATGCGAACGCTTCGTAATGCCGGGATGCCGGGTTCGATCCCAGCTGCGGGCCTTGCGCCTTGCGTTGGTTTTGACAGTGGTATCAGGGGCTGACCGTCCAGGCAGCAATGGCAAACTACTAGACGTAGATTTGCCTAGAGAAAACATTGTCCTAGTGGGGTTGGTTCTGCAACGTCCTGTAAAGGATACGCAACTAACCTATAAAACAGATGTGCACGCAAGACTGAAATTCTAGAACAAGACTTAGAAGTCCAGAAGTGGGCGAAAAACCAGAACTTCTCGCTTAAGATTACAACTGGCATACGTTAAGAAGAACAAGAAAGAGACTTTAATTTTCTAAGAACAGGTTTTGCTATAATCTTTTTTTTATCTTCAGTTACCGTGTTCTGTTCTTGGTCTTTTTGAAGCATTTCTATCTGATGTAATCTGTGTGAATCTGACTCTGTCTGTGTCCGTCCCCCCCCCTCCCACCCCTCATCATCCATTTCCCCCTTCACACACACACACACACACACACACACACACACACACACACACACACACACACACGTGCACGCATTTCCTTGTTTACATAGTAGTATC